GTTTTATTCAGCTTTTTACTCTTTTTACTTTACTTTTTGAAGGAACAACAAAAGCTTTAAATCAAATGACCTGACATATGCTACTGACTAATTACTTAGGTGGCTCCTTGTCAACCTCAGACATTCTGCTGACTCATGTTGTGATGGTTATTTTCTTCTCCCTGTCCTATCAGAGCTGATTCTGGAGGCTCGCTATGGGAACCAGCAGAAGCAGCGTCGCAGCCGCACAGCGTTCACAGTGTCCCAGCTGCAGGCTCTGGAGAAAGCCTTCCAACAGACACAGTACCCAGACGTGGGCATGAGAGAGAGGCTGGCTGTTTGCATCAACCTTCCTGAGGCTCGTATTCAGGTGAGAGAGCAAACTCCACCCAGCAGCACCTGACTGCTAACCTGACACCAGTACTGCCAGAACATTTAGCTGGAAACCATGAAGAAAACCCTGCTGCAGTTACTGTGTGATATTAATGTTCAATGAGGTGAAGAAAGTGGATCATATGAATAATGGTTACTGCATTATATAGATATAATACAGAACAGCAAATATATATCTACATGTGTACAGGTATAGAAGTGCTGTACAGTTATTTTGAACACCTTTGCTATTTTGATGAAGCACTTTGCCATTTCTATACAAGAAAATGTACAGTTCGTAATAGACTTACACTAAACAGACAATTTAATATATTTTTATTCCTGTTTTTTAACATTTTGGTGTTTTTGGGGGCTTTTATTTATTTTTACTATTTTATTTTCATTGTCATTGTCCTTTTCTCACTTATTTCAATCCTTTGTGTGTGTGTGTGTGTGTGTGTATCTTTTTTCTCTGTCAGTCTATATAAATAAATTTCTTCTAATAATGAAGTGATCGTAAAAATCAAATTTATGATCTTGTTATTTTCTGCTGCCTTCTGAAGTTTTGTTATGTTATTTATTTTGATGTAATTTTTTAGATCAGGTTATTTCCTCTGAATGTATTTATTTGCACATATTATCTTTAATTTAATCTTTGAGTTTGTTTTCCAGATTGTTTAAATGTCTGTGAAGTCCTGAAAAGTGAATTAAACTGAACAGTAAAATAAACAAACTTACCGTGGTGGGTTTCTCTCTCCTCCAGGTGTGGTTCAAGAACAGGAGGGCCAAGTTTCGTAAAGATCAGAAGTGCTCCTCGCTCTCCAGAGACAACAACAGTCTGGAGGAGACCCCACACCGCAGGAAGGTGGCTCAGGAAGAAGTGAGGCCTGATGACAAACAGGAAGTCATCACATCATGCACTGACAGGCACAGCTCTCCTCCTCCTCCTCTTCTTCCTCCTCCTCCACATGTCCGGGATGTTCGGCCTCCTCTCACCCCTTCAGACTCTGATATCTCACGGTGCCCCCTCCGACTACACTCCCCTCCACTGTTCCCTTTCATGACAGGGGAGCGCTACAGCCTCCCACCTCACCAGCCGGTTGTAGGAGTGCTGTCCGCCGACCTCGCCCTCCCCCCGGTGTTCTGGCCCATTATACGACAGCATAGCTCCGCCCTGGGGGTTCCTCCATCATCGCTTACTAAAAACTGTAGCCTGTCCCTTCAGACTGCTTGTTCCAGTAAAGCTGTACCTCACCCTCACCTGGGGCTGTAACAGAAGTGGATGTATACACCCATATGTTTTCTCTTCTCATGGGACATCTGAAGAGATCCTATGTGGGAGACACCAGGGCAGCAAGAAGGAGAAGGCCCCTTCTTCCTTGTTTATGTGAAACTGACCACAGACAGAGCAGAGAATACGATTTTTAATTTAGATTTTGTTTCTATTGAACGCCTGTTTGTCTAAAGCAATGTAAAAGCTACAGTCACATATTCTCAGACGTTATTTTAGCAGCCGAAGTCTAATCTGGGTCTGGTTTAAACATCTACACTTTGGTTGAAGTTGGCCTGTAGTGTGAGTTTGCTGGATGTTTATTCCATCACAGACAATAAGCAGTGTCAGCACCACATCTAAAGATATTCCTGTCTCCTTCAGCGTTATTCAGCTACAACGCCAACAAGCTCAGTAGTAATAATGAGAAAAGCCCCTCATTGTAAGCACTGTGAAATACAAATGTGAAATAAAGTTATTTGTTGTGGAATTTTCCTTGATTTTGTGAGGATATGTAAAATACTGTATACAAGATACAAAATACATAAAACTGCTCAAAATGAGTAATAATATGTGTAATAAGTTACAGATCGTACAGAAGATGTGTGATAGATCAATTCATCAAGTTGATAAACTGTCGGAAAATAGTAGAAACAAGGCCCAACAAAAGATGACCCCGTCCAATATAAATAGATAAACAGTATAAATAAAACAGATAGAATGATGTACATGGATAAACAGGATTATTCGGTGTAAATAGGAGCAAATGTCAATATATAGTGTGTTTACTTGTAAGGGTGAAGTCTTCAGTTGGAAAATATGAACAATAAAACAAACTCCTCATCAGGTTTTCAAATGGAAGAATGTGTGAAGCTGTTTGTGGCCATGATAATAATCCAGCTGTCGTGTAAAGCCCCATCATTTAAATATTTTAGTGTAAATCAGTACTTTGTGGGGAATCTTGTGTGTGTGTGTGTGTGTGTGTGTGTGTGTGTGTGTGTGTGTGTGTGTGTGTGTGTCTTAACCTCACGTGTGGGAAAAGTTCAAATCTGATCACACTCATCGATCAGTCTGGCGCAGATGCTTCGCCCGCCCGATGTTTGGACTTATTCACCAAACCAGTTGCGTCGGCTATTCAGCGTAGCGCCAGTGACGCCGAGTCTCTCTGGGCTTAAAGAGACAACAGCGAAATCCTGGCAAGTTGAGGACGAGAGAAGCGAAATGAGACAGCATCTGCACAAACCACCACAACATGACTGCGCTTCGATAGCGGACGTTTGAAGGTAACACGCTTTGCTTTGTGGACGGACATTCAGCCGTCTGTTATCGATTATCACAGACGCCATGTATGTGGGCGCTCTCCTCGGGTGTTTCGTGTGCTAGCTTGCTAAGTGGCTAGCTACTGTGCTAAGCGGTAAGAGATACCCCGGCTGCCGCTGGCGAGCAAGTCGGTTGTTCGGGATTAAGGAGTCGCCCGGCGGCGGTCAGGGAAACGAACATAGCCGGAATCTGAAAATTACAAACCACACTTTCAGGTAAAACCATTCATTGTAATGTTGCTCCAGCTGATAGCTTTAATAACGACGTCGCCAGGGACGCTGTTATTAAGCATTTACTAACTGAGCACCTAGCATAGGTAATGTCAATCAATGAATATTTCATGCTGCGTTCCGACTCAGTTTTTATTGACACTGGTTCAGTCATAGTCATCTTGGTGGTGTTGTAAACACACTGGTTAATGTTCCGTCGGGTTTTAATCAGGCGCTGATGGGGCCGAGAGGAACGCTGTGTTTGGTAGGAGCTAGCCTGGTTAGCTGTGTGACATGCCGACTGAGCTGTAGCATGAGGGCACATCTCTTCTTTAGATTCATTCTCTCTGCATTGCGACGTGTTTATAAACCACAAGAAGTGAGTTCGATAGAAACGAACTGAGCTGCGATTGAACGACACCAGGCTGACGGGAGCTAGCTAACCAACGCGAGGATTGCCAGAGAACATTTGGCCTTGTCCGCCGAACCAGCTGGGGTAACGTTACCGCTACATTTTCTCTGCACGCGTATCGAGTGGACCGGCTTGTACGATTTTCACGAGCTATTTCTCACCTCGTATCAGGAAGCAAACTTTGTGCAAACACACGGAGAGAAATCAGGTACTTTGGATCCACCGAGTAACGCTTAGTGACAGCTGCCAGCCACTAGCCAGGTAGCTAGCAGCTATAGTTAGCATAAGCTCAGCATTGTAGATATTTAGCAACACGTACGAGGAATATTTGGGAATCTGGCCTCGGCACTAGTGTTTGACTTCACGTGGAGTCTTCGTATTTGATGTTGTTTTCATGTTTCAACGTCGGACGTCGTCTTGCGTCGTGTTAGTGCTAGCTAGCTGTGTTGAGGATAATTGTAGCAGGCTGTCGTTGTCTGACTCGAAACGTTCTTGTCAGGATGTAATATTCATAGTGCTTTTGTGTCTGAGGTTCATAAAAGCCACCTTTACACTTGGCACGTATGGATGTTCACTTAAAGTGTTGTGTGGGCAAGTAGCTTGGCTGATATACCAAACAGCTGATGTGAAAATAACAATATACAACTTCCTGAAATGAGTGATTAGTAAGGTATTAATAAGTTATTGGCTTTTTACTTTACTCAGATCTTAATTAGTTTCTAGGTTCACCAATACTGCCACATAATCCAACTTGGCCATTTGGTTTTAAAAGAATTCACTGGAATTGTTTTAGGTTGGTCTCCTATGATGTCATACAGTATTTTCATGGTACAAGGAAGACATGACAGTGTAGTGATTGACTGCATACCCGGCTTATGCATGTGCTCTTCTCCTCAGGCGTGCTGGGTGCTGTAGTCAGATTACAAGCATTTTATTCTCAGTGGCTCTTTGTGGGCTGTATCATCGTTTATTTCACTCACACACTAATATGTTTGCCTCCTCAAGGAAATGTTATCTCATCCATTATTTGTGGAATAAACTTGTGACGGATTAAAATCACAACAGCATTATACCCCAAAATGATTTGGATTAATATTGAATTGCATCAAAATAATGCTCACTCATCATTGGCAGACATATGACTGATCATTTTAGTCCTGTTGTGATTACATTATTTTCTCTGTCATATACAGCTGAGCTAGCAGTCCACTAGACTGTATGCAAATCCAACCAATAATGTGCTTCCCAATGATGAAAATGTTACGATGAGATGAGGCATTACAGCAGCAATTGATCCGTGTAAGTGCCTTTCCATAGGAAAAAGTAGCTGCTCATTGCTAGTGCATGGGGGAGTTAGGAGGGCGGCGGAGAGACATCTGCATGTGATTGTTTTCAGAAAGCTGCACAGAGATGGTCAAATTACACTCAATATCATGTTGTCGGTTGTGCCTGGCATAGCTTTTATTATAGTATAGTCTGCTTTCCTGTCACTTAGTTACCAGAGCACGTTTTGCACCGTTAAACATTCTTGTGAATAAATATTTGTATCCTGCTGTGTGCAGATCTTCATTCACTGTTCAGATTCTCTGTTCTCTCTGTTTATTTTCCACACCTGAAGAATAAGCCTGAAACTTATCCCAGTGTCTCACGGTATAAGTTGCATATGTCTCATATATTAAAACACAACTTTGTGATCTACAAAATCTCCCTGAAAAATAGCTTTAATTGCAAAAGAGATATGTTTTTTTCAAGTCTGAGTTCCACTGTTAAATTATTATGCTCATATTGATTGCTTTATTGAATTTGCCTTGTCTGGAGCAAGCTCTCATTTCAGCTGTAGTGGGGAAACAGCCACAGTCGACATAATTTGATCTTCAAGAAAAAAGAAATTCTGAAAGTTTTAATCTCCTAATGACCATAAAGTGTTATGGTGACAAATAATGATATATTTGCCTTTTTAATGTATTTTGACTCATATTGATTGCTTCACAGAAAATACATGTATAGTATTTGGCAGTGAGATTGTAGATTAGGGTAGCAACTGGAGAGGCAATCTTATTTGCAGTTAGTAAACACAACCCTTTTTTAATATTCAAACAAGCCGCAAGATATAATAGATGTAATTAATAAGGGAGGTTAGTCTGTCATGCTTAAATGTTACAAATGATCCACACTCTACATGCTACTAAGCTACATGAAAACCAGCATCATAACAAACGGTTTGATTTCTGTGTTTTTTACTTTTTCAGATATCCATCAAATCCATCTGTTACCCGTCTTTCTCATCGCCCTGTTCTCTCAACTTCGGGTTGCCTTGTCTTTTGTGGCCCTGCAACATGGAGTCTAACCACGGTGTCACTGAAGGCTGACCAGAAGGAATGAGGCACTCCAGGAGATGTTTCCAAATCGGCGTGTGGATGCAGTAGCTGGGTTTTGGAGTGCTTTTTTATGACTAGCATTGTATGTGCATCTGTGGGCACCGCCTAGCATAACCTGCCTATTCCTCAGGCAGGGAAATGCTACTCTGAGACTGGTGCTGGAGACACGCACAAGAAAAGAGCCCCTCCAGTAAACAAGGAACACGAAGAAAAAAGGGAACCCTCAGCAAAAGAGCTGTCTTGATCGACGCACTTCAACTGTAGTTTGAGCTTGTTTTCTCAATGGTCTTGTGAACCATTGCACATTTTAGCAGCAAACACCTTTCCTCTGTCCTGTGAGATTTATCCTCCTCCCTCTCTCTAAAGTGATCTCAGTCATTGTCATTGGGATTTCTATGGTTTGCATGGCTGGAGAATAACCGTGGAGAGGCCAGGGTATCACAAGCTTATGGATTTTGACAAGAGAGGGGGCAAGGGAGAGACAGAGGAAGGGAAAAAGATGTCTAAGACAGCAGGCAGCAGGACTGGACATGGGGGCCGGAGTTCAGGGACCAATTCTGGAGTTCTTATGGTTGGTCCAAACTTCCGTGTGGGCAAAAAAATTGGCTGCGGGAACTTTGGCGAGCTGCGGCTGGGAAAAAATCTCTATACTAATGAATATGTGGCCATCAAATTGGTAAGTGCATCCTCAAGGTTGTTTTATGGACCGAGACTTCTATCTATGCACCGTACCATTGTTCTGATCCACATCCTATGAGCAGAATCATAAACCTCATATTTATAATGGTGTTTCAGCAGCTTAAGTCATGATAAATGTTTATTGTAATATGCAGCAGAATGTCTTAGACTCTTTGACCTAAGTGTGACAGGCACAGGAAGTGCATTTTCCCACAGCTTGGTCTCATGCACTGTTAATGAGTCAACCATGTTCCCCTTTTGCTTATGAAAGAGGTGAAGAACAGTTAGCTCAGATTGGCCTGAATCTTTAATTTTTCTATATTTCAAAGTAACAGCAGAAACATTTTAGTTTCTTAAATTAGATCTTAATATGTCTACTAAGACTTAAATGTTGTCCTCTAAGCTGAAATTGATGCCTTTAAGGTTTTATGTGAAACAAATTTCTTTGTTAAAACTGAATCCCTTCTTTTCTATTCCCTGTTTTCTCTAGTCAATAGAGATAACGTCAAATCATGTGGAATCTCTCCCTCTGATAAGCTCACACCAGACCCTATGAGCAATCAATAATTTACCATGTCTTTATGTTTTGTGTCAGCACGAATGCTTTTTTTCCACAGCGCCTGGTTTAGTAGCATTTAGACCGAAAAACCACATCAAATGTTGAGGCCAGTTTGTTTACCAATTTTTAGATTGTGCAGCAGCAGATCACTGCTCACTGCTCAACCATTTCCTCTGCACACAAACATTTCTCTACATATCTTTTCCTTTGCTATAAATGTGTTGCTACTTGTAGTACTTTGATCACTGGCAGTTTTTTTCTTTCTGTCGCTGGTAATGACTCAATGTAAGCAAGGCCTAACTTGGACTCAGCCATAGTGAAACTAATGGAAGCTAGGCGTCATCTCCACCACAGCTCCACTGGTCTGTGTATGATTATCCTTACATTTGTATCTCTCAGGGAGGTCATTATCTCCATACAGGCATCCATTGAAGGCCTTGCTAACCACATAGAAGGCAGAAGTTAGCAAACAGCTGTAATTGCAGTTCTCCTCTTTTCAAAATCTTTAGTTGTGCTTGCTGCCTCTCCCCCTTTGCCTGTGAACCCTCCCATCTGTTTGGGTATTTTTATCGCCATGGTGTCCAGCTATATCTGGATCTGGCATTAGGGCCATAACACAGCTCCATAGATCTTGTGGCCCACTGGTCCCAGCATTTATCTGGGTGTGCAGTGGTGAGAGGAGGAAGTGTGATACTGGTGTAAACAAGCTCAACGAGGCCTGATTGACAGGAAACAGGTTTATTTAGGATTTAATTTTGGAACTAATCTCCGATGAAGATTTATGTTTTCTTGTTACTTTTATTTTTTGAGGTTAAATGATGACGCAAGTTTGTTCCTTTTAACAATCACAACATTTATCTCTTTTCAACAAACCAGACAGATTTGACTTTAATTGTCTAAGTGGTTTAATATGTGGGTGTTGCTGGGCCTCACATGGACAGGGCTTCTCCCTCGTCAGCTCTCAGGCTAACCCAGATTTTAGCACAGTTGTCTGTCCACATGTTTCTGTCCCTGGTCTCGCACTTCCCTGGGGTAACCCTGTGAATGTGACTGCCTGTCTAGTAGGGCATCTGTTTTGTCACAGGCTGTTATTGAGCTCCTGCTTATGGACTAAAACAAACAACAGCTCTGTCATCTTTCACCACCATGCTTGACATTTGTAGTGACTCCTTGTTGTCTGTCAGTCATTTCACTTTTAAATATTCAGATGTATAGAAACTACAATGATAGTTCATATTGTGGAAAATACAATTGATGTTGTTTATGTATTATAGTGCATTGCCTTTTCAGAATCAGTCAATATTTAATCTTCATCTAAGTTTCTGATGTTGATAATAATAAGCCCTTTTTGATGCCTGGTTGGTGACCAGATGACAAAATGGTCCTTGACTATACCAACGAGTCAATAAAGCAGCAGTATACTAAAATTTAACGTAATTTCAATGGTAATTTGACTTTGCTTGAAATATCTGTTGTAAATAATTGTGCCTTTTTGACTGTATACCACGGCACTAGTGTTGAGCTGGTGCCTTACGTGTTGAGTGTCTTGTGTACCGACTTGATGAGTTGGAAATATGGGTGGAGCCTGTCTGCACCTGGGATAAAGGTGAATCCCAGTGTCGCCCTGCTTTACCGCGTGATTGCAGAGAGAGAGAGAGAGAGAGATATGTGGCAGGCCAGGCCTCTGGGTCCTCTGGCAGTGGTCTTGAACTGCTGTGAATGTTGTTGCAAAAAGCAAGAGAGAAGTGGGAAACTGAAAGGTGGTCTTTGTTCGTAGGCCTTGTCGACACACAGTGGTTCAGTCTTTGGTTCAGCTGGGCGCTTTCTCACACTGACAAACGCCTGTGTGATGGAGGCAGGACCGTATAGCCACTGCTGTAAGTACACTGCAGACTTTACTCCCATGGGGAGATCCCAGTGCCTTAAAGAAACAGCAGCATTTAGTGTGTGCCTGCTATCACGGCTCACTTTAGAAAGTCACACCCACCATCTCCATCAATACATTCCCTGCGGTGGTGATGTAAATGTGCACTGGAAAAAAAGAGAATTCAATTCAATTCTTTGCATATTTCTGTTGTACTACACATCCTTTTATTTATTTTACTGCTCTGTTTCTCTTACTATATGATACTATCTAAAGGGTTTTGTCTTATCAAGGTCATCGTTTTTGCCTCGTTTGCAAGTCACATGCACACTCACGTCATCCATCCATTTTCACTGACATTTTCACGGGTCCACTCAGAGTTACAAACTTTACAGCTTGTATTTCATCATAGCCCCTCTTCACGTCGTTGGTCATTCAGTGACATGTAAGAGGTGCCTTTGAGACGCACCGTCTGCAAAGCTGGTATTATCAGCGACAAGTAATAAACCAGTTGGAGGCTCCTCTTTGTTGTGATGGCTATCTTTAACTGTGACAAGTGGCCATTATATTTTTCCCACAAGGGAGGAGAGCAATAAGTGAGTGTTATAGTGTTGAGACTTATTGTACAACCTAGTGCCTCCCTATAGCTCACACAGAGGGAGCTGCTATAGGAGTGACCATCTATGGAGACATACACAGCAACCACAGAGACTTATTGTACATTTGTGCCAGCCGTCTACATTCAGAACAGGGTCTTATCCTATATTGAAAGCAGGAATAGATATCTGATTCGAAATACTATTGTCTTTTGGTACCCAAATATTCATTGGCCGTCTAGGCGTCTTAGATTGATTTTTTTCCCGACTGAAATGCATTGTGGTCGTGGCAAACATTTTCTGCCAAAGCTAATTGCACAAGTTGGACAAACTAATAAATTTAATTCTTGGTTGTTGTCAGACTTGTAAATGTGTTCTTGCTGATGTCTGTACCTTTCATACCTGAGGATAAAGAACACTACTGAATATTTGGTTCATAGCATGTTTGTAGGTAGCCAGAAACTATAATATTGCTCCATTTCTCCAGGATAGCATGTTTATTAACATGCATAACAGTTAAAGACAATATAATAAATGTGTTTTCAGAGATTCCACTATATTGCTGTGAAGACATTATACCATCTTTGGTTATTTACAATGATGGATGATGTGAATTGCCAGCTTCCACGAATCGGAGACGCAACGTGTATCACAATAATCTAGCGTCTGTGCCACCACCCTGGCTCTCCCTTTTACACAGACGTCAATTCGGCTCTGTGACTCCCTCCACTGCATACATGTGTGTACCCTGTCCATTACAAGGCGGAATAAAGGTGAACATTTGTGCCTCGAATACACTGTTGTTTAGATTGTTGTGGAGTTCTGCTCCCAAGTGGAAAAAGCAATAATATGTTTTGCTTCCACAGACAACCTCCATGATATGCATTTGCAAGGTATGTTTGGTGAAGGGTGGAATGCCTCTGGCACACGTCTTATTTTTCTCTACCTGAGTCACTGATGTGGAGGCGTAAATGTAAGGGAGATCAGATGAGCAAAGCCACTCAATGCCGGTCAGTCGTGATGCTCAGAAGGAAATCTGAGGTGTTGTATCAAACTCTCTTGTCTGCCTCCCACTGTAGCTTGATAAGCATCTCTTGTTGCAGTCTTTACTCAGCAGCTTACACCAGCTTGCCATGAGGCTGTTGTCGAAGGACTGTGCAGGCACAAGAGCTCCATCAGCATGTTTGGTGAGAGTTGAAGTGACATTTTGATGATATTTAGTTCTTGACTGTTATGTTTGAGTTCTCCAGAGAGCGTGATGGGCACACAGAATGAAGAAATACTTCCAAATCAACAGTATGGTTGAGCGATCTGAAGATTTTACTTGGTGATTAACCTTGAAGAGGTCCGCAATCAACATTTCAAGTGAATCATAGGGAGCGGGATAAACAGAGTTTACATTTGCTGGAATACTGTTTGCTGGAATTATAAATGATTGTCTGTTGGATGAAAATATTGTTGGACTGTGTGTTTAGTCATGTGACTAGGTATGACTCTGGATACTAGCACAACTCAGACATATTAAAGCAAACAAATCTTTATTGTTTAAACCAATTGATGGTGTAATTACTGAAGCCAAGGCCAGCAAGACTACAGAATAGTCTAAGGCTTCTAAAGAAATGGAAAATTCACCAGCCAAAAAAGCCATAGGATGATTTCTAACCTAGTATGGCTGGAAAGTTCAAATGGTGATGACGTGGAAAGGTGAAAGGAATCGACAAAATGTTCTGTGCCATTTATAGGGCAGGTAGAACAAATGGTTTTACCGAAAGGTCAGTCAGTTTAAAATCCTCTGCTCTTGCAGAACATGGTCATTGCTGTGACCGTGCACCAGCTGTTCATCCACAGATAAGTGTCATGGCACGCCACTCTGAGAAGATGATCAAGTTGAAAAACACACTCGTCACACAGCTGAAAGTTGTTTATATTTTGGCTGTCATCTCCTTTTGAAACATGTCAAGTTGTTTTTCTTTATGGCT